TAAAGAAACAGAATGTAAAAAAAAAGACACCAGTCGATATGCTGAGAAAAGAAATACGCATTAATTTTGGCCGGGCGAACATGACGTGGTCTATCCAATGGCAGCATGTTGGCTTTTCTGATGAGAAAAATTGAATTTGGAAGGAACTGATGGCTAAATTTATTATATCCATGACCTACGCATAGAAGAACATAATTTGGAACGGTTTCCAAGCCGTTGCGGCGGGGGGGTGGTGTGGCATTGATGTAGGGTGCAATATCTTACTACAGCGCTTGTAAGCTTCAATTTTTGACATCGCGCATGAACGCATAGGACTATAACACCGTGTTTAAAACTGCTGTTCCGCATTTCTATAACCTGTCTGAAAACCGGCATTAGATTTCCCAGCATGATAATGCTCCAAATCCAAATCCAAATCCCTGAAGTCCTGGATTCAGGGCCAAAAAATTGATCTCATGGAGTGGCCACCATACTCACTCGACCTTAATATCATTGGAAACGTCTGGGGATGGTTGGTCAGGAAGTATATGAGTCCGGAAAGCATTATAGTGCAAAGACAGAGTTAATCGAAGGTACTGAACACGCTTGGCCAACCATATCCTTGAATAATATTGAACAACTTTATAATTCCACTCCTAATCGAATTTTTGAAGTAATTTCAAACAAAAAACGGCACTACGCACTACTAATATTACTTAAAAATAATAATAGCTTAAAATACGGTGTTATTTTTGGTCATTAACTTAAATAAATTGAATTTAGCGCAGGGGGCGCTAATCTGATGACCAAATTTTTGTTACATGTTTTTTGTACATTTTGCAAAAAAAAATTATTTAAAAATAATCCTTATTGTTACAGTAGCCATTCTTTTTGTATTTTAAAGATAAATAAATGGAGTATAWTRTRAAAAAATTTCAAAGATGGAGCTCTGATAGTTTAGATTTTATTTAGCTTTGAAGTTGAGTGTAAAGGGGGGCGCTAACCTGATGACGCGCAGTGTATGAGCTCTCTAGCCCAAGTTTCAATCATCGATATCTCACGTTATTTATTAATTATATGTTATATTTTTGCTTATTAAATGTACCCAATGTCAACATTATCGATAAATATCGTTATAGCTTATAGACTATTAGGTCCTATAGACATCTAATTCGGTGTTGGGACTTTTGTTGTGTGGAAAGATCTGTAGAATATTTCATATATCACTTTGGACATTTTGGTCTTAACAGTATATTCTATAATATCTGTCTATCTGATGATGATTGGGTATTCGAATGCTAGAAGAGCTACATATAATTTGTATTCAATCATATAATTTCCCTCTTTTGTATAGATTCCAAGAGAAAGGTCTATTTGATATATCCAGATGTTTTGCTGAGAATGAGCAATTTATATAACTGATATCCAAAGTGGAGCGTTATGTTCCTCCCATAGTATTTATGACATCGATAAAAATCGATTTCTATATGTGACAGTAAAAATATTAGATTTTGGTATGAAGATTCTACTTTCATTTATATCGAATATTTTACTATCAATTGGATTGCTTTCACGAAATATCGTATATAAAGGTATATAAAGGTATATTATATAGGTATATTATAAAGGTATATTATATATATTAAAGGTATATTAGATAGGTATCGGGAGATGTCCCATATCCATATCAGTTTGTATTATCTTGGTCGACTTACCTCGCCTAGCTGATTGCGTGCAAAGCACTGGACGACGCCGGCATGGCGCTTCTGGACATGGTGGATGAGCAGGCGTCCGTGCTCGATGAGGGTTTCGTTGTCGTTGCTGGCATCCTCGCCGTTGATCAGCCAATAGATGTCCGGCTCGGGATGTCCGGTGGCCGCGCACTCGAGCGCCAGGGAATCGCCCTCATTGGTCAGAGTCGGATCGGGGCCGCGCAGGATGCGCGGTCGCTCGAGCACGCTGAGCTTGATCATGTGCACGAGCACGGGCGCAATGCCGTTGTCCAGGCGACACACATAGGAGCCCTGATCCTCGGGCCGGATGTCCGTGATCTGCAGTCCGTAGGCCAGCACACGACTCCGGTTGTGGTAGATATTGGGCACATTCGGACTGCTCCAGACGGCGCCGGGCCGAGGCGATCCGACTCCAGGGCATTCCAGGACAACCGTTTCGCCGGGCCGAGCGGCCACCTGCGTGGCCGGCTGCTGGAGCAGGAAGTACGGCGGAGTGCGATCCGTATAGTCGACGCGCAAGTCGATCACCTGCGGCAGCCGCAGCTCCACGCCGGTGATGGCATTCGTCGCCGCGCAGGTGTAGTTGCCCGCATCCTTGGCACTGACCGAGTTGAGGACCAGCGCGCCGGCGGCGCCTGGCAGCAGCTCCGTCTGCGGCAGCTTCTCGCCGTTCCGGTAGAAGCTCCAAATGGCCGGCGGACTGGAGCTGACCGAGCCGCAGCGCAGCAGCACACAGTTCTTGGGCGCCACGCTCCAGCGCACCGCATGCCGGCCCACGCTCGGGTTGTCGATGGAGATGGAGACGAGCGTGAGGCGGGCGGGCGTCGAGGCGATGGCACCGGGCCCATACCAGGCGACGCACTGGTAGTCGCCCAGCGTCTGGGCGTTCACATAGATGCGCAGCTTCCAGGTGCGCTCCTCGTTGCTGCTGGTCACGTTGTAGCCGGCAGCCGGTCGCAGGTAGCGGTACGGCTCGCTGCTGCTCGGCCGGAAGCGCCACTCCAAGCGATCCGGCTGCAGGTTCAGCTCACACTCAAACACCACCTCGTCCCCCTTGGGCGCGATCGCCGACTCGGGCGCCCGTTCGATGTAGACGCCGAGCATGTTGCTCGAGTTGCTGTCGCTGTTGCTGTTGCTGTTGCTGCAGCTACAACTGGCTATGAGGTAGCTGAGCACCGCCAGCAGCCGCGGCACAGAGGTGATCCGTCGACACATCTCTGCTCCACAAGGAGAGAGAGAGAGGAAGGGAGGGTGGGTGAAAGGGAGAGATTGGAAGAATCTGAAAGAAATAAGAGTTGATTTAGTACAATTGCATATACATATACATATATAAATATAGATACAGATATACATATGTATATATGGAAGATTATACATATATCAAGATTGGCGGCAACTGCCTGCACGATAATCGCTGAAAGTTCAAAATTAATGGGATATAGCAAGAATCAATATTTGTTGACGCTGGCCACGCCCCAGTGGAGCAGCATATAGCTTGGTCATCCAAACTGCGATAAATATGCTCTACTCTGATATTATATACAATATAATATTATAATAAATATTGATTGATAGATGGATAATCTATATACAAGGGGTCAGTTCTATAGCGAAGTAATATATACCTATATTTGAGGTATCTATAGGATTACATATCCATTAAATCATATTATCTGAATACTTCTAAAATAACTCGTTAGACTAGAACTACAGCAGTATGCGGTTATAACGACGCCTCAAAGGACCGTCGTCATACCCGGAAGACGCTATAACTGTATAAGTTTGCACATATAAGGACGCTATAAGGGGAGACGTTATAGTCGGACTCTACTGTATTATATAGTATATGTATACCTATACACTTGTATTCTAAATATACAGATACTACGGACAGTGCTGACAAAGCCAATATACTCCTCTCACTACTTTGTGAGCGAGTATAAAAACGCCATACATACATATACGTAAGATTATCCGTGTTTTCTTGTAGTTTAATTTATAGAGATGACCAATTTTGTGATTTATTACCCGGCTCTGTGTGGCCTACAAATTATATGTATATTGGATCAGAAACCAGGTTTTTACAGAATACTAATGGTATTTGGTTGGTAGATGGAAGAATTAGTAATATTTGTCTATTGTCGATAGAAAGCATGAATAGCATCTATATAGAACTATATTTAACGTAATTGTTTGTGTCTATGGTCTGAAATTAAATTTTGTATACTTAAGTAGAAACACAGGAAATTACATGAAACATTTTCAAGAATTACTCATGAAGCAAACTTAGCTTGACTCCCAGAAGAGTCTAAATACTAATTCAGCTTAACTCTCTAAAAGGTTTCTCAACAATTTTCAATAGAATTGAGACTAGTGTTTAGACTAAATTAGAGTGGGGCATTGAAAAGCCGTAAGTCTTACTCAAACTATTCCCCTATGTTATGATCAATGAAATGCTAAGAATATTAAAGCAATTTTCTTTTTATGAAAATATTATTTTATAATATATCATATGTTAT